CCCCATGGCTGCACTAGTTTATTCATTAAAGGGGTCTTGTTAAAGTGCTGTGCTGTGCTGTACTGTACTACTACTCACCACTCTGTCTGTACTCAAGTCCTGAGTTTACTGTGACATCTGAGCTCAAGTGTTTAGTTCAGGTGTTTTGCCAGCCCTCCATGCCCAGCTCTCTTTCTCGCTTTCCAACATAGCTGCTCTATCATGACTATGTAGAGTTTTATGTTGTCCGATCGAAAGTGGCCATCTGTGAATGGATTTGTGTAATAGGTATAGATCTAGGCTGCCAGGCACATAAAACTCCTAGGAGCTTTTATCCTGGGAGTTTTATCTGCAGTGCCGGTCTATCCCTATCGCTCACTCCCGCATCGTCCTGCCATTTGAAGAATTTCGATGACTTTGATCTACGAAAGGTATGTGGTTTTTCTTTACTTCTCTAACCTGGTTGGCTGTCCTGTAGGTGGTCGCCGTACCACAATGATTTACTTCCATTTTTATGAAGATATTTCATCGCCGTCCGTTAGTCCAAGATGAATTGACTGCACAGTTCCACAGCACCCTAGTCGAATATTTGAAAGCACCAGTCAGGGAGAATGAAGCCACTGTGAGGGAAAGTGTGCGGCCTGTTCTTTGATATGTTAGAGAAAAGTACATTGTTCTTCCTGGTTGAGAAGTTGCAGTTTACCAAACTGTTTCCTGTCTCACCAGAGGAGGTGATGTGGGACGCTGGGACCCATAAGTCGCTGTGTTCAGCTGTAAAGAAGACAGAGACCCTGCTGTACCAGGCCCTCATCAATGATGACACCTCTGCACAATGAGTTGTTGATCTCTTCAGAGATGTCAGGTATCCACTTCTGTCCACTTGATAAAATCTTTTCTTTGTACTTGCGATTGTGTGTGGTTTTTTTTTTTTTTTTTTTGGTTTTTTTTACTCTGATGCTGAACCTTAGGAAACTGAAGCTGGAGAAAACATCCTGGTGACGCAAACGAGACCATGAGGAGGCTGCTACAGATGTCCACACCAACCTCTTGGGTCCTGGGCATTGAGGCTGACTTGAGATCTTGAAGGGACTGTTCCAGCAGAAGTTCAGTCAGCTTTACATGAGCCCACCTTCACCCTGGATGAGATGACCGCATTAACTGAACTGTAACCTTTCCTGTGGACTTTTTTTTTCTTCTTTAAGTTAGTGTTTCTTGACTTTGTTTGAATTTTGGAACTTTATTACAAGACTGCCTCATTTTTTTTTCCATAGTTAAACGGTGGAAGTACTGGGGCAGGCTTAGTGGTTAGATTGAGTGATTCCCCATATGCATTAAGTTGTGGTGTTTCAAAATCATCACCGCCAAGATTTTAATAACTTTATTTTACTTTAGGGTTAAATTTCTGAGTTGTCTCGCTCTGCCAAGTTTCAAGGGGGTGACTCGCGCTTCAGGTAGGCCTGGGGAGGGAAAGCTTTGTGTTTCGTGTGCTTATTAGATTTTCTGTATGTGGGAGGCCTCCCAGCAGGGGAATTTATCCTGCCCCTGTAACGTATTATCGCTGTTGTGGGGATACGTTCAGCAGTTTCATAGTAAGGTGGTCTTGTTAGAGCTCTGTTGCATGGTAGCTGCAATACCAACCGGGAGTGTGTTGTAGGTTCTTGGGAGGGAGGAAGCCTGGCAGAGACAGATGGTTCAGACTCTAAATAAACTCTGAGACACTCGGTGTAGTTGCCTTGTTTTTTATGAGGTGATGATTATGAAAACTCTACACTAACCCAAACTGGTTGAGGCAGAAGGCCGCCTACCTTGAGTCGAGGTCTGTCGGAGTTTTTCTTCCACTAAAGGGAGTTTTTCCTCTCCACTGTCATCAAGTGCTTGCTCAAGGGAGATTTGTTGGGGTTTTCTTTATACTGATGCTGAGATGACTTGTTGTGATTTAGGTTGACACCATGTAGAATTATTTTTCCAGCCAGGCTGTCACCTGTGCAGAGGCATAGAAATGTGAACTACTGTCAAAGAAGCATCAGGTTTTTCTTAAGCACACTTTGTGTAAAATCTTAATTCATGAAACTTATAACTGAAATAAATGTATAATGAAAACTACATGAACCAGAAGCATGTTTCTGCAGATTGTTATTGATGGACGGGGTTGAAGCTGAGGTCAGTGGTTCAGACTCTGGAGTTGATGTTCAGGGTTCTTCTCTTCAGCACCAAGTACAGTGCATGTTGTTGTGCTTTATAAGCTTGTGTCTTTTTCTGATAAGTGACCAAACTCCCTTTAAAAATCCAGCAGGTTATTTTTGCTTTTATAAGAACAAACATAACATTCAATATACTGTATAACTCAAGCTGTACTAACTTAAATATAATATCTTGTGGTTAAGTCGTAGCAGTAATGCATTAAGTTGGGTTTACTACAATAAACATCTGAGTTTAGGCTGCTGCTAGCTGTTGTGCCGCTTCGTTGGTCACGTGTAACATTGACCTGTATACAAAATCCCCAAACTCTGCAAAAATGTGGTAGTGTCTTTGTTAGAAACTAACATGCATCATGAAACTAATAATTTCTTGAATGTTAACTTCTGGTAATTTAGCCTCAAGTAGAAAAACCTTGTTACTAAATATAATCTTTAACATTGGGTTCCTGCTGCTTTGTCATCTGTTTAAGATTGATTTTCAGCCACAATATATGCTTGTATTTCCATACAGTGGGTACGGAAAGTATTCAGACCCCCTTAAATTTTTCACTCTTTGTTATATTGCAGCCATATGCTAAAATCATTTAAGTTCATTTTTTTCCTCAATGTACACACAGCACCCCATATTGACAGAAAAACACAATTTGACAGATTTATTAAAAAAGAAACTGAAATATCAGTCATAAGTATTCAGGAGCATCCTGTCTCAAAGTGATACTGAAAAACTGGTCCATGCATTTGTTACTTCCAGGCTGGACTACTGTAACTCTTTACTATCAGGATGTCCCAATAATTCCCTAAAAAGCCTCCAGTTAATCCAAAAGGCTGCAGCCAGAGTACTGACAGGAACTAGCAAGAGAGATCATATCTCTCCCATATTAGCTTCTCTCCACTGCCTCCCTGTAAAATTCAGAATAGAATTTAAAATCCTTCTCCTAACATACAAAGCCCTTAATAACAAGGCTCCATCATATCTTAAAGACATCATAGAGCCTTATCATCCTAACAGAGCACTTCACTCTCAGAGTGCAGGTTTACTTGTGGTTCCTAGAGTCCACAGAAGCAGAATGGGAGGCAGAGCCTTTAGCTATCAAGCATCTCTCCTATGGAACCAACTCCCAGTCTCAGTTCAGGAGGCGGACACCCTCTCTACCTTTAAGATTAGACTTAAGACGTTCCTGTTTGATAAAGCTTATAGTTAGGGCTGGATCAGGTGACCCGGAGCCTTCCCTTAG